ATCCAGCTTTGTGCCCAGCCCTCAAATCAAGTGGCTCATAACTATCTCTGTCTTCAGCTCCATGGAATCCAACACCTCTGGCCTCCGAGGGGGCCTGCATGCCCACCCACCCAGAAACACACAGAATCATATAAATATAAATTTTTAGAAGAATGTAAAAGTATTAGCACACTGCCAAACTCGAGTAAAGGAGTAGCCAAAGCTACAAAAAGAACAGATTTCACAGGGCAAGTGGTTCTGGGAAAGTGTGGACTTTAGCAATTCAACCTCTTTGTGATTTTTATTTTGCTAATTATTATTATTATTGAGTGTGTGTGTGTGTGTGTGTACATGCACATGCTGTATGTGGAGAACTCCTGCACACACAAAAGACAACTCTGTGGGTTCCCTCCTTATGCCTTTGTGTGAGTTTGAGGAACAGGGCTGGGATTACCACGGTGGTGTGGCAAGCACTTCGTTCTGGGTCATTTTTCCAGCCTTTGAGTGAGAGTTTTAAGGCTGCCGTCAGGTGAATGAAACCAGGGCTTTCTCACAGGAGAACATGGAGCTTCCACGTTGCCACTCTAGAGTCTTCACATCCAGATTCCTTGTGCCCTGTCCCCAGGGAGGGCTGTATAAAGGCCATACCGCTGCACCTCATGGGCAAGGACAGCTCGGTTCTCAGGTGACATCACCTGGTGAAATAGTGGAGTGAGAAATTTGCTGAAAATTCAAGCTCACAGCCTAGCCTCGTGGCCCTGCGTGTTCGTGAAACAGGCTCTGTCCCACTCCAGGTTTAACCTACCGTCCTCAGGGTTAACCTACCGTCTGCCCAGGCGTATTTCTTTCCAAAAGTCAAATATTCACACCAACCACAAGGCCTCATCAGCAGTGGGAAGTCACGTTAGACAAGTTCAGCTGCCATTGGGAAGCCTCCCGACTGGGACTCACAGTCTCTTTGTTGTGTGTGTGCCTAGTTTCCATGGGAGATTGCTAGCAGCTGTCTAAGGGACTCGGACCTCTGCGGTGGTGTGGATTCTAAATAGGTGTGTTGATTTACACTCACACCCGTATCCAAGCCTCAAAGACATCTGTCAAGAAGTGTCTTTCTCTGAGCCTATCAAAGAGCCGTGGAATGTTGAGGATTTGAGTAAGGGACTTAGAGATGAAAGGAGGCCCTGGCAGAGCGGCTGGGTGGATCTCTGATCGTAGGGGGAGAAATCGAAAGGAATTAGAAGAAAGAGGTGAGGCCGGGATTGGGATTATACTTTCTGTTCTATGGTTAGAATGACAACAAACACATTCCTTCAGACTCATAATAGCACCTTGCACAGGGGGTGGGACACTTTTGGAAAACCAACCACTAGGGAGACTTCGCAGGAAGACTGGCGAGTGTGGGTGCACTCTGGGCAACTCAGCAAGACCATGTCTGCAACAAACAAGGTCTGTCATAGAACTCAATGGCAGAAAAATAAAATTAGTATGCGCAAGACCTTGGTTCTCAGCATGTGTACGCACGCTGCCTTAAATAGTCTTTAGTACCTGGTCACGTCCTCCCTTCTGTGACTGTCTGTAGCGAGCTGCGTGGTGTCACACCTGATGGAGATGTATAATCAACTCCTGAGATGGCTAAGGCCTGACCTATGCTATGATCACGCAATGATTATCAGCTGCCTGCATATGCGTGAACCTATGGGCAGTGCCCACCTGGCAGTTCGGGGTTGGCAGCCCATGCCTACTTAAGGGCTGGGAGAGGTTTGCCCAAGGAGAGAGAGGGGAAAAGTGGGAGAAGTGTAAAAAGTCCTGGAATAAACTGCTGCAAGAAGAGCTCCAGGTGTTGCGTTTTCCTTGCTGGTCGAGGGTGGACGCGACAACTGTTGTTCCTGGGAAAGGCTGTTCCAAGTGAGTTTATTCCTGATATATCTGAGCACAAAATAGAACTCTCTCCATCTGAGCCAGCATCAGCACCACAACACTAAGACTGAGTGAATGAAAACCAAACACGGATAGCATCCGGCTTTCCCGAGTAGCAGTGGTTCCCATGGTAACAAGGACAGAAGCGGGCAGCTTGTGGACACACATGCTACAGTGAGTTAGTGTGACAGAGAAACAGGTTCATCGAGTGTGGAGGATATATTTAGACTTGTCCATTCGTTTGTGGTTGGGCTCAGGTCTAACGTGCATGCATATTTCAGTCAGCGTGGTATTTGCATCATGCACCAAACCATGCTCCAACTTTGAGAAACACGCATTGCTATCCTGATACAGTAAATGCTAGTGTCAGAGTAGTTGTGAATTGGGGAAAAGTGGGGTCGTTCATCTTGATATCACAATGCAGAGGTCACATGATAACAAGAACTGGGGTGTCAGGATTTGAGAGACAATACACTGCCAGTTGTCCTAAGTCGTCCCCTGTTGGCTCCTAAATCAGACTGTTCTTGGGGATCCGGTCCCCATTACCTCCATGTGAATTTTACTAAGCAGTTTCCTGGAGTGCACCCTTTGGAATTGTAGATTCTGTGTGCTGAAGTCTTGAGGCTTCCTCAACAGCCTACAGAAATAACCCTTCAGAAATAGATCTGGCTGGCTATCATCCTGCCTCCCTCTCCTGACTGCTATTTAATGCTCTGTCTGCACACACACAGGGCTTCCTTTTGTCATCCGAGGGCTTGTTTTTGTAAAAAGCTCCCACGCAGTCAGGCTTCCTGTGAGAGTTCGGTTCAGTTCAACATCCTCACTCCTCAGCGGTGACAGCAGAGAGGAGTTTTCCTCTGCTGGAAACACCGTGGCCTCTGGGCTCCTCTCTTTACTTTCCACAGTATTACATACATATGTAGCTACTTTCTGTAGTATTAATAAGCTAAGAGGTGATGTAGACTTTTTTGTAGAAACTTTTCGTCCATAGACAGTAGCTTCTGAGTGTTAGCTTCTTAGGGACAATGTGCACCGATATCAATAGTTGTTCCCTTGGAAACTGACTTCAAGTGTGTTCTAGCTTTTACTTACTTGTACATTTTGGGGGAACCAAGATAGATGTCACTGGGCATGGGGAAATAAGGTTATTAAATAGAATTTGACCAAGAATCAAAATTCAACGATAGTTAAGGACTCTATCATATACAGTAAGTGGTTAAACACAGGGAATTTGATTACGTGAGATTTTAAGATAACTTCATTTTTCAAGATTTTAATGAATTTTTTTGGTTACCATACAAATAAATGTGTTTTGCTTGACATTTTAGCTTCATGCACAGACGAAGGCTGACTCTGTAGATCTGCCCCTCAGGTGACAGTGAAGAGCCCAGGCCCAGAAGCTGAGGTCTGCTCTGAAGCCCCGAGTCTGCGTTCTCCACAGCTGTGACAGGGAGGGCTGGCAATCCCTGACTATAACCAGAAATGGCTCCTCCCAGCTAAGCAGGCTCCGCACTGGCTAGCAGAGTCACAAATGGCTCCACACTCCATTGAAATGTGCTTTGCTGACTGTACTGGTCAGGGAAACATGCGTTTGGATGACCGGCTTCTGCGGTGGCGGCTGTGTGAACACACTAACTTCAGGGAAAGGGACACGCATTTATGCCCTTTCTAGAAATGGGCCGAGATCGGGGTTGTGTAAATGCTCTCCACAGGCTTGACGGGGAGGGTAGAGACTTCCAGTTACACCTAAAGGTTTTTAAAATTTGATTTTATTATTTTAAAACTATGTGTCTATGTGTATTGTGCACAAGGTAGGGAATTACATGCACTCTAAGGCGGGTGTCCATAGAATCCAGAAGAGGGTATCACATCTGAGGGAGCTGGAGTTCCAGGTGGTTGGGGATATCATGTGAGAGCCGGGAACCAAACATGGGTCCTCTGCAAGAGCAGCAAGGGCTCTTGACTGCTGAGCCATCTCTCCAGCCCCTAAATTTGAGGATGTTTTAAAGGTTGACTACGCCACTTGATTATATATGAGACTGACTGACCGCAGCTGCTCAAGAAGCCAGGCCAATCCTTTATCCTTTAAAACCCCATCCAAGTTCTGGCTTCCTTCATTTTGCTGCTGATTTGAACTCTGGAGATTGCAGAGCTGCTCAGGTGTCATTTTCTGAAGCAGGTGACCACCTATTGCCAGCCACAAACCTGAAGATCGGTGGGCAAACAACCCGGATTAATGGCAACATGGTGGCCACCTGGGCAGAGTGTGGAGGTGACCCTCAGAAGTGAAATCAGAAGTGCTAGACCTAAAAGGGGAAGGCTTAGAGGGGCCTCCTAGCCTCCTAGTGGGCCACAGTCCCATAACCCGATGCTGTCTTAACAGTGTGCAACATAGGAAGTAGAAATCAAGACCCAGGTAGAGTAGATTTAGTTTTAAAAATCTCATCAGGGAAAATTAGGGTAAGCTAGCCTTCATCTGAAATGACTCTTTCAAACAGTGTATAGGCAAAGAAACTCTAGGAAGAAGGATACCTATGCATGGTGGTACATCCATCATAGCCCATGGTCACCAGGCACAGAATCAACACCTACAATGGTCTGTGGTGTGCATCCTAAGAAGCCAGGTTTACCCCAAACACCCTCCACTCACTCCCTCCCCACACAATCACTTTCCATCTGCTTTCTCCCCCCGGTTCCTTTCTTTCCAGCCTGTCTGTTCTCTTCCCACGTGTTACAATGATCTAAGTGAGAGAGAACTGCGTGAGTAGAAAGGCCTCTCCACACTGGAGGAAACGGCCACTTAAATATATGTAAAACTGGGGCTGGAGAGATGGCTCAGAGGTTAAGAGCACTAGCTGTTCTTCCAGAGGTTCTGAGTTCAATTCCCAGCAACCACATGGTGGCTCACAACCATCTGTAATGAGATCTGGTGACCTCTTCTGGCCTACAGGCATACACACAGACAGAATATTGTATACATAATAAATATATGTAAAACTTAATTTTAATTTCAGTCATGTCAAAGCCACAACCAATTCAAAGTAGAAATTTAATTCAAATAAAGATCAAACAACATGGGTGTTTACATTTATCTAAATATTTGGTCCACTAATGAATATTATTATCTTTTCTTACCATTATGCATTAATTGTAGATATTCAAAAACTGCACTGTTAATTTTCCCCATGAATAAAAAGAAAAAAGAGCAACAGTGTTTAGCTCTCACCCCCAGCCCAAGGTGGCTCATCATGCAAGTCAGAGGTTGCAGCTCTCTTTGGTGTCTGGGGTCCCGGGCAGCAAGGCAGAAGAAATGGCTTGGGTGCCCATGGATCTGCTGCTGCTGGCCCCGTGCCCTCCACGGTGAAGCATGTTGTGAGCAGCCACCGAGAAGGCGGATACACTGTGTTTCTGGAAATCACAAAGCTTGTCTTGGGTTAAACACTCCATGGTTTTGATGACGCTTATGAGTCTGTTTCCATCTGAAGCCTGCCTAGATCACGCCCAGGAAGGTTACACTACTTAACTCCTCTGTTGGTATATCAACACGAGAACACGAGAGTGTGTCATTCAAAGTGATCATAGCTAAGTGACTCTGCAGACTGTTGAGTTTCAAAACCAGTCAGCCATAGAACTATTTAGTAAGTATTATGTTGCAATATGATTTATTGTACTTCTTAATAGAGGAGTTGACCTAGTGCAGGTGATATGTCCTCAAGGCTGGCCTTGAACTCCTGATCCTTGTACCTCTGCCTCCCACGTGCTGGGGTTACAGGCATGTACCAGCACACCTGGCCCATACATTGGTTTTGAAGGCACTATGTATGTTTCTGCGTATTGAAAATAAATCAGATAATCAGATATTCCAAATTTGGCTAGCAAAGATGATTTTGAGTCTGACACGTCCTCACTGTACCGCCTTCAACAGAAGCGAGTCTAGTTACTGAATTGTTGGTATCAGATGGATTCAGAGGGCACCAAGGTGGATGTGTGAGCAATTTCATAATGCAATAGAAAAGACACAAAACAACCCTGTGGCGTGGTTTTTCCTATTGATTCTACTACTATATACAACACGAATACACAGGATCAGTGGCTAGAGGGGCTAGTGTCTAAACAGGCAAATGGCTAACGGTTTTTGAAGAGTGGCAACCTAAGTCTGCCATGAAATCAAGAAAAAAAATACTCCTGAATGACTGAAGATAACAGTCTGTGTGTGTGTATTTACTTGTGTGCATGTGTGTACATGCACATATGTATACGCGTGTGTGCGTGCATGTGTGTATGCCTGCAGTCCAGAGGAGTAGGTACCTGTCCTCTTCCATCAATTCTGCCTTATTCCCCCGAGATGGGGGTCTCATATTAACTAAGCCTGGAGCTCATCTGGCAGCCAGGAAGCTGCAGCTGTGTTCCTATTTCAGCTCCCCACAGCACTGGGGTTACCAGCATATGCAATCTTCCATGGCTCTTTAGATGGGTGCTGAGGATTTGAACCGGTGACCGCATGCCCTCACCACTGGTCCATTTCTCCTGCCCTAGATCCTCCCTTTATTAACAGAAATTATTCTGCAAACTTTTCCTCAATGAGTCTCTGACTCTCGCTACACTAATTCAGTTCCAATTCAGAGATTTTACTTTCACATTTTGTTGTTGTTGTTCAAAGGAAGAACACGTGCAAATGTGGCCGCATGAAGATATGGCTGGGTGTGCAGCAGCTCACACCAGCAGCTGGATCCAGTTAAGTCTCCCCAACTTCTCGGAGTCAAAGTGTTCATCTTCTCATAAGATCAAATAAACATGAAGGCAATGCAGGTGGACTTTCTTACGTGTGGCATCTGATGCCAGAGGCTTGAGATTGTATTTGCAGAGTCAGGGCATACGTATACATTTTGTATGAGGTGTGTGTGTGTGTGTGTGTATGTGTGTGCATGTGTACGTAGGTGCATTGTGTGTGTGTTGCCTGCACATTCGTGGTTGCATGGCACTTGAGAGAATTTACAGTTTGCTCTGATTTGAATAAAAGGAGCACACACTGTTTACATATTTACCCACTCCTGGCCACTTATTCTCTCTCCCCTAAAATGCAGGCATTAAACTCTAGTATTTTAAGAGGTAAAATGTCCCCCTTGTAAGGCTGAGTTGTAGGAGGTGTGTTTAGGCTCTTGCCTGAGGGGTCCCCTTGCTTACAAACACCTCTCCCTCCTCTCCCCTTCTTCCTGTTATCACCCGGCCTCAGGAACTGCAGGATCTATGCAGACATCCTGTATTGTGACACAGCTTCAATTTTCTTTTGTGGGGACTATAATGATCAAGCCACATACTTATCATGGCTGTGACAATCACAGCCCTCGAGGAGCTGTTTCATTCTTAAGACATCGGTGATTTTGTGTAATTTCTTTGTGGTCAAGGTATGCACACAAGAAAACACTGAAATGTCTGAGAGATACTGACAACAACCCCAACAGGAGGGCGGATCTGGCGGTCATAAGGACACAGAACCCACACAGTCATTTTTTTCATATGGATCTAGAAAAATGACGTTGACCACATTGCTCGAAACAGAGCTTATAATACTGATGGTTCTGTAAGCCTGGCTGAAACCCGATTGTGTATGTTGCCAGTATGTCCTGAAATGGTGCTGTTTGGCTTGTCTTGAAGGCAAAAAGAGGCTGGTGCATGCTTCCACCAAGAGTAACAGGGATGATAGAATCAAGATACAGATATATTGCAGAACTCCTAGATCCTTGTTTGGTTACTTTCACTCCACACAGTTAAGCCCACTGGAAAACGTCAAAATGAAATGAATGTATTTTTCAAGCTTGAAGTCCCTGCTTTCCCAACACTTTTTGGTCATTACCAGGTAGCCATCACTGCAAATACAACATACATACTTAGACACGAGAAGGAGCAGGTTCTCAGGCAGTGATACAAGCAAATAGTGAATCCCGCCTTAGACCTCACCCACTGACGATGCCCTTGACAGGTGGATTAATAAATACTTCAGATTATAAGATGATGTTCTTCTACAAACATACATTTCATTCTGTCAACATGGCTACATGTCTGTCACCCAAACAGGAATTCCCTCTATTTTAGGGGGGCAAAAATCTGAATTTGAGTGTTTAGTCCTGACCAGGCACTCTGAAGAAATCTTTTTATATGCAGAGAGGTTTGTTCAGCCACCAGAACAAAGAGAAAGCTGGGCCATGAATATCTTTGTGGTTTGATATCAAGTCCTGGCCCATGTTCACAGCAGCTGTTGGTTTTTGAGAGGAGCTCTGGTGAGGAGGCAGCTCTGGGGGGGGGGGGCCCAGAGGCCAGCCGGGGTCAGACATTGCTCTGCTGTAGCAGGAGGCTCCTCAGCTCGCGCTCCCTCTGGTCCTCCTGTCTGTACTGCTCTTCCAGCTTCTGTTTCTCGGAATCCGCACAGTAGAAGGTACAATCCGGGCTCTTCCGGATCTGCTCAAACTGGCTGAAGTCAGCCACGTACTTTCCATTTTTGGAGAGAGAAACCACAGGCACAAACTCAAAGCCCCAGTAGATCTCCTCCGGGATGTAAGATGTTCGACTCTGGCAGACGGCGCTGGTGGACTCCACGGTGGCATTGAGAAGGACCACCAGTTCAAACTCCTTCTCCTTTAGGTTCTGCGGGGTGAGGTCCCGCAGGGGGCTTGTCTCATCCAACACGTGGTAGAAGGTCATGGGCAGAATGAGAAAGGGGCTCTCAGAAGAGGAGTCCACGTGGAATTTGACGGTGGCCTGGTTGAGGAGGATGCGCTCTCCCTCCTTGGTGACGTGCGTCTGTAGGAGTTTCCCAGAGAGCTGACACTGGATCAGGAGGCTCTTCCTCATGTTGGCCACCTGGATGACCAGGCACAGCTTCCCGTTCTGCTTGCTGATGACAGCGCAGTGGCTGAACTTGATGGTCTCAGCTCGCTTCTTGGGTCTTGCGATCTTGGCCAGGAAGGTCCCCGTAATGAAGATCTCAATCAGTGTGGTGATGACCAGTTGGGCAACCAAGAGGAAAATGGCGTGAGGACACTCCTCTGTGATGGAACGGACCCCGTAGCCAATGGTTGTCTGGGATTCCAGGGAAAAGAGGAATGCTCCCGTGAGAGAATCCACCTTCATAATGCAGGGCGTGTGGTTAGAATTAGGGTCCCCGAGTTCCAAGTCGCCGTGAAGGAACGCTATGGCATAGTAGACCACTCCAAACAGAAACCAGGTCATCACAAATGTGGCCGCAAACAGGGTGAGTTTGTACCGCCACTTCATGTCGATGACCGTTGTCCACAAGTCCTGAAGGTAGAGCAGATAGATGCCATCTACTTTGTCAATTCTCACATTGCTGTGTCCACTCTTGGACATGACTCGAGGTCTGTGGGCCTTGAGTCCGACTCCATTGGCGTGCTTCACCAGGGGGGCACTGGACATGCCAATGTGGATGGCATCCATTTTCAGGCTCCTGGCACCACCTAAAGAAATAACAAAGATGTGTCTTACCATGTTTTTGGTGTGACTTCCAGAAAGTAAAAAAAGTACTAGCAGAATCCGATTGTTACATTTTGGCTGCGACCTTCTACCACATGCAATAACTGCATTTTGTTACTATGTTGAGTAAGGTTTGAGTGCTAAGAGGTCCCTTGGTATCTGTGTAAGTTTTAAGTGTCAGTTCAACACAATCTGAAATCACATGGCAGAGAGTCTCAATGAGGGATTGTCTGGATCCAGTTGGCCTGTGGGTATGTCTTAATTGTGGTGGGAAGAACCACCCACTCTAAGTGGCACCATTACTTGGGAAGTGTGTCCTGAAGTATAGGAGAGTAGAGAAAGTGGGCTAAGCGACTCTGCCACGCTTGCTCTCTCTCTCCAGAGTGGATGTGATGTCTCCAACTGTACCAAACTCCTGTCTCTGTTACTTTCCCTCAATTATGAACTGTAATCTGGAATTTTGAGCTAAAATAAATGCTTTCTCCACTTGCTTGTATAAGTGTGGTGGTTGTGCCTGCTGAGGTCAGAAGCCTGAAGAGTGATTGTGATGCCTGTCTTGGATGCCGGGAATGAACTCCAGCCCTCTGCAAGAGCGATAAGCTGTCTTAACTGCTGACCTGTCTCTTCAGAGCCCAGCTAAGTTGCTTTTGTCGGGGTATTCTAACATAGCACCTGGAAGCAAAGCTAAAACAGTTTCCAGGGGCCCTGTTTCTGTCCCCACCCCCATGCACACAAAACTCTTGAGTGACCACGACTCCTCTAGGTAAGCAACAAGTTATCTGCATGGGATCCGTGCATCTTAGTCTCAAACCTTGTCTAGACGACTTAGAAAACTTAACAGGATGAACATAACAGACAGAGAAGTAGCTACCACACTGTCTGTTGGGAAATGACTGCAAGAACAATGTCAGCATGTGCCCAGCGCAGGTGCAGCCATGCTCAGTATCTTCGGCCCTCAGCAGCTCAAACCTACAGATAGAGAACTCTGGAGGCAGAAGGAAAGACGAGTGTGGAGATGCGTACGGAAGTGGAACTGTGAAGGCCACCCTAGCTGGCTCGTGCCAACATGAGGGCGGCGGAGGAAGGGCTTGAGGCTTTGGGGGAGAGCTGGCATGACTGAAAGATGCCTCTGCAGCCGACTGGCTGTGTGGCTCAGCACAAACCTTCATCCTTTCTGGACCACAACTCTTTCATTTTTAAGTGGGAGTGAGTCCTTAATGCCCGTGTGGGCTCCCATCTCAGAACTAGCTCTGTCCCTGTTTGCTTTTTGTTACCTGGTGATGAAACACTGACCAAGAGAAACTTTTAGAGGAAAGAGTTTATGCCATCTTATGGGTTACAGGCCATCATGAGGAAAGCTGGGGCAGAAACTCAAGGCAAGAACCGAAGCAGAGACTATGGAGGAGCTCTCTTTACTGGCTTGCTTCCTCCGCCTTGCCTGACTACCTACCTTTCTTACACAGCCCACACCCTCCTGCCTAGCGGACGGCACTGCCCACAGTGGGCTTGACCCTCCAACATCAATCATCAGTCAATGAAATGGCTCACGGATATGCCTACAGGTTAGTCTGGTGGAGGCGGTTCCTGGATTGAGATCGCTCTTTCCCAGGTAATTGTGTCTGTGCTCCGTGGCCAAGAGCTGTGGGTGTCCTACTCATACATGACAACTGTGATGGTCAGGTGAGCATCCAAACAAAGCCTTGTTCTAAAAACAGAATTGCTTTCTCTCGACGACACAAAAGGTTATGCGAACGCCTTACGAATTGTTACCAGCATTTGTGTATAATCCACTTTAATGACTTACCACGATAATACTTAAAACTTAATTGACCACATCCAGAACTGATCTTACATGTTAGTTCAACCACCTATAAAATAATTTTGGTATAGCAATCGAGAATATTACTGCACATCTTCAGAGCCAAAGTGATATTAATACATTTTTAGACCTCCCTTTTAACTCACATACTTTGGAGCAATTCATTTGCCCCTCTCCTTCAATGAATAACTTACTATCTATAGTTTCTCCTGGTCCCCATGACATTTGGGAAAAGTCAACTTATCAAGCGACAAACGTCGCACTAACAGCAAGTAATTAAACTTTCTTAACATCTCATGCAGGCTATTCTCAGACACGTCCCACCATTCTAGGTGTGATATTTAGGTATACACAAGTCTGCCCTGTTCTTTAGATCAAAATAGAACCAGCCGGAGGAGTCTATTTTAAGAACAAACGTATCTAAAACCGAAAGGGTATGTAGGGTATCTAACAAAAGAGCAGAAAAAAATAAATAAGAATTTAAAAACTTACCCAGAAGCAGCACTGGCCTCCCAGCTCAGACCCAGGGAGGCTCTGCTCTGCCTCAACACTCAACAGTCGGAGGAGAACTGTGAGCCCACAGAGCATCTTATAGCACCTGCCTGCTGCCTGAGATAGCTGACCCCGGCATTCCACGAAAAAAGATAACGTTGGCAATAATAGAGTAACTCAACCTGGCTGGAATATTTTTTTTAACCCTACCTCATTGGTGTTTTAAGAATTGGAGGGGAAACCCCCCTTTGGAAAGGAATATATGAAAATGCAGTGGTTTGTGATTCAGATGCTAATCTTTCTGGTAGTGGGGCATTATGTCAATAAAAGTTTTACAAAGGATGCAGACAGATCTTTTCATGGAAACAGCAGGGCTCCCAATGAAGGCCAGCACCTGCGCAGGATAGGATGCAAAATGGAGCCACTGGGCCATTTAATCTTCCTGTTTTGTTATGAAAGGCATGTCTCTTACTAAATATTCCTTACTGAAGTTAGCATTTTTCTTGGAAAGTCACTGTTCTGATTTCATTGCAAAGAAAGTCCATGCATGCATTACTCAGAGCTTTAACTTCTTGAAACCTGCTTCACCTTTCCTGGGATCTGTTATTTAGAAGCCAGGGACATCGCAGAGAGCACGTACCTTCTTCCTTCTGGTGCCCCGGACTACACTTCTTAATTCATAATGAGAGAAGGGAAAAACAACCCCATTGAGGCTTGGAAAGAGCCTGCTGGCCTGCCTGAAATGGGGACAGGCCGGTGACTGATAGGAGACCCGCCGAAGATATGCACAGCCTACATACAAGTGACGGATGTACTTAGGAGAAAGACCGAGGAAAGAAAACGGTGCGTGACCTCGCGTGGTTTTCCAGGACAAGTGAGACACGAGTGTCCTGCGCACGGAAGAGATGCTCGCCATACAGCTTTCTGGGGGGGGGGGGGTACTGTGGCCTTGTGCCCCGGAAAGTAGCACTGTGGGGCTTCTGTTTGTCCCGTGCCTTCGCTGGGGAGCTGACCTGGCCTGGGGTGAACAGTATGCTTTCCTGTTTCTGTGAGCGCTCTCTGGCTGTGAGCCTGAGCACCTGGTTCTGGGGCCAGTGGCCTGAGCCCTGCTTCCTGGCAGTCAGAGTTTGGGACCTGGGACCTCTGCAAGGGCACAGTTCAGAAGGGCATGGTTCCCTTTCTGAGGGCCGTGGGTCTCGGGATGGCCCATCTCCTCTGTCCTCCAACCCCAGCCCCCGGTCTAGTACCCTCTGCCCTCCAAACCCTCCTCTTCTACCTGGTCACTCACTCTGTAAGTCAGGAATCTTCTGCTGGGCAAATGGCACGTCCTCGCTCCCCTTCACCCACCTGGCTACCATGGGGTCCTGCTATGGCCTGGAAGAAAGAGGGACAGACACGTGCTGTTTACAGGTAGGTCCAGAGCACCCAGCAGAACTGGCCCCTGAAGATCCCCTCAAGGCGACGGGTGTGGCATTTACCTTCGAATCCCTGGCCATCTGGCACAGTGCCCAGTACAGGCTAAATGGCCCAAAACTTTCAAGAATGAAAGCGTTGCTACCACCACAGCCTTGCTATGAATCCAGCCCCTGGAGGGAGCTCATTGACAAAAGGCACTGGAGAGAAAGGGTCAGCCCACCCCCACCGGGGCCACAGTGATCTGGGCAGGCGGCAGGAAGGGGAAGTGCGGAGGAAGTAAACAGCGCACACTGGAGGGGGAGAGTCCAGAATAGCCCCACTGGAAACGTTTCGCTCCTGTTGACTCAGAGAGAGAGGTAAAGAGGATCGTCAACACTGTCTCAGAGAGTGGCAGACCATAGAGAAGACAGAAGCCTAGAGGGGAAGGCTCGGCTGGTGCTGGGGAGGAAGGAGGTGCAAAGGTTGTGGGAGACACAGCTATGCTCTTCCCAATACACAAAATTCCTGGTCCTCTCTGCTCTGTGTGACCTGGTGTAAACCCAACTCAAGGTGCTTCACATTCTTCTTTTCTGAAATAGTGTGTGTGTGCGTGTGCGTGTGTGTGTGTGTGATTTGCCAGTCATCTATCAACCAGTTATCAATCGTCTATCATTTTGATTTTATCCACTATCTATCATCTACTTATAACTTGTGCCACAGTACCTATCAGATAACCTATTAATCTACTATCTATCTGCGTTTCACCTACCACCTGGCTACTACCTTCGTCCTCCATCCGTCCACCTTGCTTGTTATGCATCTTTTTCTATCAATCTTTAGACCCATGTCCACTGATTGGTTGGAGGGCAACCCCTTGGTCCTTGCTCTCTATGCCCAGTAACCTGCCTTGTACCCATCAGTTTGGTGGTTTACTTCTTTGACTTTATACATCACGACATTCTCTTGATTTACTTTATATGTTTTTCTGCAGCCTCCTTTCAAATTGTGTGCTTCTTGGGTGCTGGAGAGATGGTTCCGTGGTTAGGAGCACTTGCTGCTGTTTCAGAAGACCAGAGTTCGGTTTTCTGTACCCACAGGGCAGCTCACAGCCATCTGTAACTCCAGTTTCAGGGCTTTGGATGCCCTCTTCTGGCCTCCAGGAGTACTGCATGCACACTGATGCCCATAAACGCATACATACACATTAAATAAATACACAGCATTGAAAAAAAGAAATCTGCTTCTAGCACTCCCATTTTAGTTTTAAACATAGCCTTTGATTTTTTTCTTAGTGGTTCTACAATCCACATGGCTTATCTTCTGCTGAGACATCAGTAGTTTTCTACAAGCTAAATATGGGTAGGAAGATAAAAAGGCATTGCCATGTGATTCCCTGTCTCTCAATCCTCCAGATAGGCAGTACTCCTATAACCATACGCACAGTGTTGGTCTCTGGAAATAACATTTAGTTTCCCAGGTTTTTCATGTTATCAAAGCTTACAGGAAGGGATCCTCATTGTCAAAATGGGTATTTGTAAGTCATGTAGACTATAGAGTACATGTATATTATGTACTATCAAATGTATGCCAAATATGTTATACAATTTATATGAAATACTTATCATATTACTTATTTGCACAGTGTCAATAATTCTAGCTAAAATTAATCTACACAAATTATAAAAATATTTTATTTATATTTTGGCCTAAATATATATTATAAAATAAATAATTCTGGCCAAAATTTAGTACAGAGATATTTTTAGCATTCACAGTTTTCACCCATCATTTTCGCTAGCCCACTCCTGTTTATACAGTACCTCCCCCCCCCCCCCCCCCCCCCCCCCCCCC